CTTATTAGATACATGATTTACAAATATTCTATCTGGATGTGAAGACTCTTTTTATTTTTATTCCCTTTTCCCTTTACTGTTGGAGTTTTCCAGTTTGATGTATTTTTGGTGCCTAGAAAAAAATCAATGCCAGGGTCAATTACAAGGAGTTCTCACTCTCAATATATATTCTTCCAGAAAATGTATGGGTTTAAGTCTTAGGTTAAGTCTTCTACCCATTCTGGGGTGATTTGGCATATGCTGTGAGATATAAGTTCACTTTCATTCCTTTCCACAAATATCTAGTTCTCCCAGAACAATTTGTCATTAGATTATTCTTTCCCCATTGTGCCTGCTTGCTTCCTTTGTTAAAAATTGAATAAATATGTTTATATCTATTCCTGGTTTTAAAATTTATTCTATTACATTTGACTATGTATCTGTTTTTAAGGAATGTGGACTTCAAAGAAAGACTATGTGTACTCAGATATTAATACTATCTGTAGAAACTTACTTAATTTCTCCTGTCCTTTGTAACAACAAAGTAATATGCAGCCTTTGAGTAAAAATGTAATAGAACACTGACCGGCATATAGTATGTATCACATGACTATTGACTGCTTTTTATTATTAAATATTATATTGTTTGTTCACAATAATATTTATAGCATCTTGTATAACAGGTGATTTTTAAATCAATGAAGTGAATTTTTACTATGCATTGCTTTGTTTTTAAAACTATATCAATGACGCATGTAATGGTCTAGAAAATGAAGCACAGTCATGCCGTACTCCTGACTGTGCCCCATAGACAATGGCATTTGCATGAGAGCAGACAGATGACTTATTCACTCCTGATTACAATGTATATGTGGAAGTAGTGTAACAATAGGCTGTATGGGTAACTATTAAGTACTTTGTAAAAGCTGGATGATTAATATTTTTTCCCGACATGATGTGTTAAATGTGGACTGATCAAGACTGAAAACAAATCAGTTTATCTGGTCCAATGGTATGTCCTTAAACACCCAAAAGGGATGTATAACCAAAGATTAAAGGAGCCAATATAATTTCATAAGAGCACACATATATATATAACTAAAAGTTACTTGACAAACATCAAAGCCAGACAGGCGATACCTTCAGTCGAGTTCTTGGCCAAGATGGATAAAGGCTCTTCCAGACAGTAACCCAACATACTAC